AACTTACCATTTACTCAGTGAACGTTTTGGCGGGCAATGCTCCTTCCAGACCGTTTTTCATCTCGTTCACCTTTTTTGGTACCTCGTCAGTCCTTCCGCGCATAATTGACCTGGTACAAGGAATATGCTCTCACTTACTAAAAAAAGAGGCGACACAAAAAGGAATTGTTGGGGTAGGATGTGAAGTTTCTATAAATTAGTAATACAGTTAGTTAGTATACAAGGAAAGTTTATACTCATATAAGTCTGTCAAAACATTTGTGGAATAATTGTTATGGTAAGAATACCACCGTAGCCGATCGAGAGCAATATAACTTCAATTCAGTTAATGTCTGCTAAATGAGATATGATAAACGGTAAAAGATAAAGAGATAAACCTCTCGGCAGTGGACCTTCCCTGAAGGATGCGCCATACATTCCACTTCAACAGGCACTGTTAGAGGTGAATGAATGCATATCCCGCCTATATAATAACTTGTAGTAGCTTATCGATGTATCAAATGAGTGCTGTTGTCCTCGCAGACAAGTCTACTACTAGCTTTCCATTACCGGATGTATTGAACGCTTAGTATACCTCGCTCACTGGATTGAACCAGAGACCACGTAACTTTCGCGCGCACCTCTGACCACTGCGGTACACCCACCCCAACAGTATACCAGGTGAGTAGAATTCGAGTTGGTCCTAGCAGACGAAAATGGCACATATCGAGGTATCTGCAGTTCTTTATGACACTTATTTGCGATATAGTACTTAAAAGAACCTAATTCAATGCGTATTTAGGAAAACAGGCCTTTAAGAGAATTGATATCCATATCCATATGTCCATATCCTTTAAATTAGAGCTTGAGTGTCAGTTTTTTATATGAGCTTATCTCACCACGAGTTTGGCGGAAGACCATACTTCAAATAGTGTTTGAAGTTGCTTCTCACTCGAAATCTGGTTCAGCAGCAGTTTACCTGTCCCGATTACGATCAATGATTTCCTTCTTTTTTGTTTTAGAATCAAAAAATTTCTAATTACGTTTAGATCCTAGCACTCTGCAAACCGGAAATTTTCATGTTTTTCTTAGAAATGTACGCAGTCAATTGACTTAAGTGTCACCAGTTCTCTCTTTCCGCTTATCCCTTCTCATTATCGCTGACTTCATAAGAAAACGAATCTATTTTCCACGTTGTTCTTTTTTTCGATGGCTCTATTCTTTAAAGCAAGTTATGGACCAGAATTATCAGAAAGCGATCAGTTAGATGTAGCAAAGAACTCATTCACTAGAACGTCAAGATTTATATGTGGTTGTTGATAAGAACCTGAAGACCATCTTTTCAGTGGTTTGGAAAAATAGTTTAAAATAATAAATAAAAATAATAACATTAGAAGAACGAAATATAAACTGTGAGCAGATATAATTCGTATGTAATGCTGAGATATCTGCAAAACTCCGGACCGCAGGTGAATGCGGTGGGGAACGAACACGCGCTGCTGTCCTTACCGGGGAGCAGCGCACTTCACCACCACATCATCCGGGTCCTTCGTTTCGCCTGTCTCTCAGCTAGTTCTATTGATCTTTTGCCATCATTCCTCGACGGGATTGATCTGTGAAGCCCAAATCGGCATTGAACTCAGTTAAGCTGAGGCTGTATTTGGTGATTGTGCATTATGGAAGTTGTATTTCTCAACCAACCCTGCCATTAAAAAGAATAGGCAGTAAATAAAAAGGTTAAGATTGCAATAATAACATTTGTTTTATAAAAACGCACTAAATTTTAAAAAAAGTCAAGTCGTTTATTTTGCAAAAGGCATTTTCTCCTTAAAAGATGTTTGTGTTTTCTCTTCGATTTCTCTGACCTCATTATCAGGACCAACGTGAAAATGTATTTCCGTAGTGAAAGAAAATCTGCTCATACACTTTTCTTCTTTTCAGTTCAAAGTGAGTTTTTAAATGAACGCGAAATATCTATTTCTTTCGGTCTGCGTCACAGTACGTTAAGTGTCACGTTATGAAAATGAATGTTGGTAACGTATTAGCACGAACTTTGACGCCCTAACAAGAATTTTCCACAGAATCAATGCTTTGTGGATTATTAAGCTAACCTCCCAACGGTTTACCCCCTCATCGTGGCTGGGATGTGTTCCTAGGTGTCGGGCAACGGTGTACAGCGACGGGGACTCGTCCCTACAGCAGGGTTTCCCAAGCTGCGAAGGAGTCCGGCGTTTCCATCAGCCCAGCTAAGAGTAAACTAATACCAGGACCCACCATCGTCCTGGTATGAAACTAGTCACATGGTGGGGAATCTCCCTCTGATCCACAAAGGCGGCGACTGCCTGTTGTGGTGAAGACATGGGGCAAACATTGGCTAGTTTGACCTCGGGACTCCAGAAAACCACAGTGGCTAAACAAGCGAAACTCCGTAAAGATGGAAATTATGCTGGAGCCCGCACAACCAGTGAGGACGAGCCATTGAAGTATGAAGTTTCAAGTAAGTATACATTGACTTACGATGGTTAATGGGTGTATCCAGCCCATGTTGTTACCCCTCACACAAATCCCGTATCAAGATGCCGACCGATGGAACGTTTGGCGAGCCTGTGGTGGGGAACGGGATCTAGCTAACGATCACGTGTGCAATTCATAATGCAATATAGAACATAGAACAGTTGATATATTGCTATACATATCATATACGACCGACTGCCGTAGAATTCATTGCCACCATGAAGACGGATAAAAATGATTGGCAATAGATCGGCAACCATTTTGTATAAAAGAGCTTCGTGGAATGAGGAAACGTTATTGTACCGGTGCTCTATTGAAAAGCTTTGCATCGATTACGAAGTTCAGATCACGAGAACTAGCGACTGTGGACCGGACCATCGAGTAGGATAAAAGCGGCTCTTAAGAAGAAAAAGGCCCAAAACCTTAGGGGAAACGACTTTTATAAGAACCTCGTGTAAGTTTAATTAATAATCTAAGAATATATTATGCCATTTATTCACTCACTACCGTGGCAGTAGTACTTCTTTTGATCTTCCTATTTAGTTCCGTCCTATCATATTATTTATTGGTCCACAGAGTCTTTGAACAACGACTAAGAGGTCTTTTCTGTAAAAGCATATTGTTCTCGGTGTTGATTCAATGTTTAATGTATTAACCAAAGTATTCCAGAGGTTTCTGGCCATGATGCAACATGTGACAGATTTTCTCTTTATTCCACAATTCGTGACCGTTCCATTATATGGTGCGTTTTCTTACACTATTGATCATTGACTACTAGTGCATTCGAACTAAAGCTTTTCACACGTAAAAGCGCAGCTGATTATTAGCGAACAAGCCGGGTTTTTCTTGTTTACTTCTGGAGTAACTTGTTATTTTTCTTCTTCAGTATCTATGTCAGCCGTCGACATTAAATGGGGTTTAGGAAGAAAAAGGGCACGTGGAAATTTTTCTCACGTTTATTTTTCCCAGTTCGATCCCGCTTCACGCTCACCAAACCCATCGCCCCTCCGTGGTCGTGAAATAGGTACCGGTGTTCTCCGGGAAAAATCCACTCTCTGCAGTCCTATTGAAACCGCTCTATGCCGTCTATCTCAGTACTCCAGTGAGAATCGACTCGGCCAAAATTCTACGACATTCAAGATGAAATGAAAATCCTCAAACAGTAGCCGAAGCCACAAGTGAAAGTTGGAAGAGATTGATGGACGATAGATGCGAGGAAACGAATCAAATATTCTGGGATCCGCACAGTTAATGTTAACACGAATCGTATAAAATAAAACAAAAAAATTACTACACGACGAGGTATAATACGTTTCAAACTGCACGGAGCCCAAAACTTCTCGCACCTGGTTTGTCTTCTCACATCCATGCTCTTTGAGGGTTTTCAAACCTAACTGCTTGTGGCTTCGGTTGCTGCTTGAGGGTTTTTGCTTTCGTCAAAGATGTCCTTGAATTAAATCGAGTCGGGGCTCGTTGGAAACTTGAGATAGCCGTGCTGGAGCGTTTCGGAGTAGATTGGAAGCGAATTGCCCTGTACTGCCTTGGTGCCAGTTTTTCGACCCCGGTGGATGAGAGAATTGGTTGGCCACGAGCAGCGCCGATGTAGAGCAGGAGTAAATTGGGTGTCTGCGTAATGAACGGGATCACTACCACTGCACTGCCCACTCTTTTTGATTATAGTCTACTGAATCCCTTATTAATAACATCCCAATAGCCCAAATCGAGTGAAGATGTCATAAACGTGTAAAATACGAAAACCTGGACTACGCGATCTCTACTAATTTAATGTATTTTAAAAGCAGCACACATGAAGATTTCAGTTTCGACGAACTACTTCGATGAATCGTTACTGCATTCGCACCTCGTCAGCCCGATACCTAGTTTCACGCCTGGTATCCTAGACGGAAATTCTTCCTTTTCAAACTGGCCAGATAGAATTCGTTTCCGAGAACACTCTCCTTATGGAAGTGCAAACAGAAACTATTTCCTCACTTTATTGAGGAAACTACAACTCACTGAGGAGCAGTTGGTATCAAATGGGTACACATCCTGAGTTATTTTATCACTAATTTTTTAGTCGGAGGTACTTTTTTGTAGTTTTCCTCGATGGAAAAACAGCCAAAGAACGAACGTGGTTGTGCAGCCAAGCCTTTTCGACATAATCGCTGGACGGGTGGAATTCGTCCCCGATAATGGTACGCTAACACCCCGTCGTTTTGCTTAAGTTTAAACTAGCCGAGCTACAAGCCGCCTAAAGATCGCTGGGACAAATGTGATCTTTGGTGTGATTTTTCTTTCAAGAATTTAAAATCGCTTAGATACAAGACGAAGATGTGTACGGTGCCACGCTCCCTACCGCCTACCACATGACGGTAAAAAACGGGTGGATTTCTGCATACATCACTCTAAACCGGCGCTGAGCTCAGGTACACGTTGCTAAAGTTGCTATGCAAATTGGAAGTTAACATGTATGGGGATGTAAAGAACACAACTTTTGCCCTTCAGGAATGAAAATCCACCCCTGCTGTGGGCGACCGATGGGTGTGGCAGGTTGTCAATATTCGCAGAGCCACGTAACAGATACTATGAGAGAGTCGCTTCTTTCCGACTTCTATGCAACGCCTGAACCAACAGGCCCTTCGGATCCTCGTAGTGAGACGGTAAGAATTTATGGAAAAAAAAGCTTATGAAAAGCTTATTAGAACATATACGAAACAAATCCTTTCATTCTTTCCCAAGTTTAGAAATTTCACTACAGTTCTACGCTCTCGACTGCGAATTCGTTTATACGACGTGGGGCAAAGAACCGGCCAGAATCACGTTAGTTGACGAGTTTGGAGCTCATGTGATCGACTGCGTGTTTCGCACAGAACACGAGCTGGTCGATCCAAACACGCAGTACTCGGGCCTCACTACGGAAGAAGTTGAAAACAACGATCTATCATTGGAAGATGTACGTTTTTTTGTTTAGCACCGGTTTATTTGAAGGAGAAAATTATTGCTGAGCCTCCCTGAGCATTGCGAACTACCAAGCTTCATGGTTTACGAGGTCGTCCGACTAATAGGCAGAGGGTATTAGGTTGAATTTTAGTTTCCAACTGCTCCAGAATACAAATAGAATCAATGGGAGTAGCCGGAGTTTTGAATATCTATTTCTCAAGGTTTGAATTAGCTAAGAGTTTGAGAGTCACAAAGAAATCCTTTTCTCCAGAAACACTCGGCCTAATGCGCCAAAGTTGAATCACGCGAGCAGCAGGCTATCACAAATTTACGTCCGAACTCGCAAAGCTGTACAGAAGCGATATAAAAGAAGACCTCATGGAGAAAAGAGCAGCAGTAATAGGGAAGCAACGAAGGCTGAAGAGTAAATCCGCTACCCCGGTTGGAACTTCGTCAATTATTGGACAAGTATGATCACACCACGATGCCCAAACGGATCAGTTACGGTTTCCAGGATAGCAATAGAGAAAACAAACCACAACTGCAACTCTGATATTTCCGATGGCTATGTTTTTCTGCTCACATACAAAATAAAGAAGGTTGGATATGTCCTCCTACCTGTTCTTCGTTCCGAAATCCGACATGCAATTCTGTCGGTGGAAAACTGAATACTGTTTGGTGCGGGCAGGATAATATACGGATAATATAGGACATAGGATCCGAATAGGATAATATACCTAAATAACCCTTCGCCAATACTCATAAACACACTGGCTCGACTCTTCATATGCTACTTGTCAGAATGCAAGGTTCCTATTCAACAGAGGACCAGCAAGACTACGTTATTGTGCCAGAAGGATGACCTCCACGACATCGGCAACTATCACTCAATCTGCTTACTGTCTGTTGTTCACAAACTCTTCACTGAGTCGTCCCAAACAAGATTGAAAGAACTCTGGACGAAAGACAGCTGTGTGAGCAAGCAGGGTTTCGGCAAGGATTCAGTTTGATGGACCACATCCACATGATAACAGGACTCAGTGAAGTATCGAACGTGCACAAAAGACTGCTCTGTCTCACTTTCGTCGACTTGAGAAATCCTTTCATAAGAGTGAATAGGTGATAGAGGCCGAGGTCGCTACACTGCGCATGAAGATCCTAGCTATGAAAAATTTCACAACCAGCATGTCATTATTCTAAAATGATATTAACATCAACATAAACAGAAGGATTCAACAAGGTGATATCATCCCGCCAAAAATATTCACAGCCATCTTTGAAAACACCATGCAAAGATCGAAATGAAGGGTGCAAGTCGATGGCTGAAAATTGCACCATCTTCTTTTCATTGATAATAATGTTGTTTTAACGTCAAGTATTACCTAATCGGAACGAATGCTGGTCTAGGTCGAAAAATGCTTGTGGAAATGCTTTCCTTTTGCTAAATCTCAAGAAAACGATATTTTTGATGAATGAATTTGTTTCTGAAGTACCCTTCATGATCAGCGGAGTATATTCGGCTGCTCCAGTTATGTTAATCTAGGTCGGAAAATATGAATAATGAGCGACTTAGCTGCACAGTTGAGCAGTAGTAGCGAGCTGCTTTTCAAGACCATCGAAGATCTGAGAAAGGGAACACCCGAATCCGTGCTCCTTTCCATTCCACGACACTCCCTGCTTTATCATACACGTATGAAACATGGTCGTTAGGCAAGTAGGATGAAAGATCATTCTGCGTCGTCGAAAGGACCACGCTGGTGGTAGGCAGTAGCACCCAAGTAGTAAAGGGAATTTAGTTTTTTAACAGGGATAAAGAACTAGAGACGTCGTCTACACTAAAATTACGAGACTCGGGTGCGCCAAATGCGTGATGGGTTTGAACGGCAACCATTGGTCAGGACCCTTCTGCGAGTGGATTCCTCAGGTAGTCAAACACACTACATTTATATGGGAAGATAAATAGACTGAGATAATACACCGATAGCTCCCGAATATTATTTTGATGACCAAATCTACACTCAATCACCTTTAAGATGTTCAACGGTGTCGATTACACAAAGTATACTTCAATGATTAATCAATTCTGAATGTTTTGTATTTTGTCTTTCTTATCGTTTTCAGTTTGAATGTGTAGATAATTGGTTTTTTCGCTAGAATTAGGCGAAAGTGGTTTACCTATGCTGGATTGCTTCTACGGTGCAATACATTATGTTTCAGGTGAGAGAGTTATTGTTTGAGAAAGTGAACGCTAAGACAGTGTTGATAGGCCATGCCCTCGAGAATGATCTGAAGGCCTTGCGAATTGTCCACGACACTGTCGTCGATACTTCTGTGTTATTTTCGTAAGTCTTACACCTACTCTCAAAAATAAAACTTGAAGTCAATGCGCCAAGTCGATCAACATGTGCGGATATCGTCTACTTTGAATAATTTGGCTTTTTACGATGTTCACTATATCCTGGTTCTCTCTAAAAGTGAGACGCCAAATAGCTTCACTGGTTTGTTGGAACCTTAAGATACCTTAAGATTAAGACACCTGTCCTATATCAGATGTTATTCCACTGGTTGTCGTGTGATTTTTACAGGTACTAGCAAATGCTCATCTGTCTGTCGTATGCAGAAGTAGTTCATTAGATTCTTCTCACTCTAGCGGCTTCGGCAACGTCATAGTTCTTTTAGCATCTCCGAGAAGAAGCTCGATAATCGGAAGTCTTTCATTCTACTGTGCATTTTTGTTCCGATGGTTCCACAGTGGCTCTTCTTATGTCGCCCTTTGTCAACCGGTTATAGTGAAAACCTATACAACTCTGTTCTGATATTCAGAATTTTTCTGTGGCATACCTGTAGCACGTGTTTGGTAATTCGTACACGTCTTCCCGTCCTAATTACGCAACACCAGTTTTGAAAGCGTAACCTAGGTTTAGAGGAATCGTGGTGATGAAAAACTGTGCATTACGGCTGACCTATTCTCTTCACTAAAACCTCGATCTCTACTGAGCTTTCTAAGCCAGTCATTTTCTCTTACACTGTACAGTTTACACTAAAGCTAAATCCTTCATCATGTTAACCATTAAACCAAATAAAGATAATTGAGAGTTGCAGAGATCTTCATTAGGTCAAGTATGAATCAAACTTCAGAGATAAGTCTATTTTTCACGAACATCGTTTTATTTGGATTCAACTCTAGACTAACCGTTTAACAATAGCGGTTAATATTGGAGGGTGGCATTCTCCAGAGCGTAATTGGTCTGAGTCGATGGTCTGCAGTCGTTCATGTTCGCGATGTGGATGATCGTTGTCTCATCAAGTCGAATTCCAATGAAGGAGACCACCGCTCAGTGAAAAACCTCATTCAGCGGTATCCCTTTATGTACAACAACTGATCTACCACATGGCGCTATCTTTTTGGCTATAAATAAGGCAAGGACCATAATAAGCTGAGATATTTGCAAAACTCCAGACTGCAGCTGTTTGCGGTGGGGAACGAACGCGCTATAACTCTTGCAAGTGTGTCGAAATGCTAGTCGAATAAAACTTCTACACCAACCTCTTGTTAGCTTATTAAAAAGACATTGATTAGTCAAGCCAAGGTTTAAGGAGTGAGATTTTTTAGCACAGTATTCTTTTCGTCTAGCTGCGAAGCGAAAATGTTCTAGTTGCCTGACAACGTTCTCATTCCACTGCAGCATTCGTTTATATTCAGTGTATTAGTATAGACACTTGACAATGTCTGTAAAATTTTAGAGAGATTATGTGTTGTGGAATCTTTCTTTTCACCTTGATATTAACGTCATATGTCTAGTTGTGAAGTTGTCATACAGCTTTACATACTGAGTAGTGGTTATCATAACGGCTTTAATGAGCTTTCTGTCCCAACTGAGCAGTTTCAACGAGTTTCGTTAACGTGTGAATGTTCACACTGAACTGTTTTACAGGACCTGTTCGCCAACATGCTCATACTTTGCCCACGGCCAATGCTTTGTCATCACTATAGCTCGAATGAACCAGCTTGCATTCCGTCATGTGAAAAAAAACCCAATGTGCTTATGAGTATTGACAATAGATTTTTCTGAAGTTTCCACTCCTTTCCGGAGTAGGTGTAATAGGATTCCGCACTTATGAAAGCAAATGGGATTTCGAAAAGAAAACGACTGCATCGGCGCATCAATTTTCCCTGACAGGAGATCGAAGCAGGTGTATATAGCTGTCGAAAAGATTGGAGCAGAAATTGTAGGTGGTTTTTCCTACGCGGTTGATTTCCGTTCAGAGGACCATTATTTCCTTTCTCAGCTGTCGAAGCCCCGGAGAACTTTGCAGATGACTTTCTGAGACGTTGTAGGTTCACTCTACTGCTCCCATTCCTTCCTTAATACATTCTTTTATGACTTAATCAGAGTTTGAACTGGTGTTTTTTGAACTGGTGTTTGACCATTTTCGACTAGATTTGCGATTTGTCGATTGTTTCGTATTTTCTCGAATGAGAGTTCAATAGCATGTGAAGCTTAGAGAAAACAGTGAAATCGTTCAGAGAAAAATTTTGATTTACTATGAGGTAGCCATTGGACAATTGGACAACTCTTCGCACGGTATAAGATCAGCATCATGGCCTTTTCAGATTTATTTATCCTAAAGTGAGTTTGATAAGTTTTAGTATGTTGTCTGTAGCCGTCCTATCCAGCGCTTTGCGCGAGTGAGTAAGCCGTGCTATAGCACGTGGCCGAGTATCCTCTTCTATCGCCTGCCCTTCTTTCAAAGAGTAAAAATGGAAGATTGGTTGAAGGAAGTTTACAAGGCTATCGTAGCTTTCAATCGCTTTATTCCAGAGTTATGGCCAAAATGATTTGCAAGATAGAATTTTTATATACGAAAACACACCCACACACGAATGCATCATTATTTCTAGAGAAGGTATACGTCAATCGCATTTAGCAGAAACAGGCGGTGTATCTCCTAGATTCATCTGCATCTCAGGGGAGCACCAAGTTGTTTTGGTTCGCGTTTGCCTCCCATCTTCCGCCTAAAGTACCACGTATTCTCCGATCTAGCCAGTTAGGGAGTTCTCAGGGTAGAAACAGTGGCTTAGAGGGATATCACATGAAAACTCCACAGGCAATTTATTTGAAAGGGTTTGATCTCGGATTTCATTTCACTTGAATTAAAAAATGCAACAGAACAAGATAAAATTCACGTTCACCGTATCCTAATCACTTTCTGTTCAGTCGTTCGAATATCGAAGGACGACTATTCAAACGAAGTTTGAAGTCATTAGCCAAGGAGGAACTAGCTGTAGAAATACAAAGTGAAGGTTTATTTATAACAATACGACTTGTTATCTACAGAAAATTCCGTCATATGCGTCTAACAATACTTTTGGTGAAATGAAATCTGGAGAAGTTCAAGGTAGTTTTGTTAAGGAAAACAAGAGGCAGAAAATTGTTTTAGACCCGACCATCATTTAACCCTGACATTAATAACCAACACCTTCGTGGATTATTAAGCTAACACGAGGTCGATAAAAACCTCGTGTTATCTTAGTAATCCAAGAAGTTACTATATAGGTACTTTTTCTCCACCTTAAAACCAAAGAATATGCCTGAGCACTCGTGGCTCACCAAGCCTTCCCACCCTCCGGGGTTGGCAAATTGGTACCAGACTTGTCTGGGAGGATAGCAGCACTAGCTCGACACATCGGTTGGCCACCGCGAGTCATTTTAAAGGCCAAATATGCATTCAATCATCTCCAACGATGCTTAATGAAGTCGAATGAATGGCGCATCCCTCAGGGATTGATCAACGACTTGAAAGTAAAGGCTTTTAGCTTTTAGCTTTTACTTTCAATACATTTTTGGTCTAAAACAACTGAATATAGAAAACTGTATAAAAACAGCAATAAATAACAGCTGACGTGATAAATCAGTGGAGATGTGGCTGTTTTAATTAAAACAACTCTTCAGATGGTGGTCACGACAGCGGTGAGGACGCGTGGGCAGCGATGCATTTAGTAGCCAGGGCGGTGGAGGCACTGCAATGGTAGAAAGCTTCTTCTTAATCAAACCAAGTTTAGACATCGCCATTCATCAACATTTTCTCTGTTTCGGAAATTGTGGTGACGTACACTTTATTGTATTGCTCGAATCCCATTTAGGACATTGACGACAAATGAGGAATGACGTGACAGTGTTCATTATCTCTTCCGCAGTGCCCGTTCTCCATAACAGGTCCAGCTATTGTCATCTTATTGAACCTCGAGAATTGATGATAAGCCTCCGTTTTTCAACTAAATCAACTTGAAATCATGCTTGCCTGTGCTATAGTTTCATGGTTGTGCTACAGTGACCCTGTACGTTTACGTGGCTGATGATATTCTTTACTGTTCTCTTTTATTTTGTACTGGTATGCCATATTTCCGGTAATGCTTGGGATTCTTTTCCTTACTTTTTAATATGATATAGTGTTTGATAGAAATAAAGTTCAGTTGTATTAGTGACGACTTTCAGTGTGTTCAATGCCTTTAATAGTTATAACGATGCTGAGATATTTTCAAAACTCCGGAGTGCTGGTGTCTGCGGTGGGTAACCGAACGCATTATTATCCTTTCCGGGGATTAACGCGTTCACCACCACACCATTTGAGTGCTTCGTTTCGCCTTTCTCTCAGTTTTTAATTTCAATAGTTTTAGTAGCTGAGTAGTAATATTGCGTAACTACTTCGGTGCTGTAGTGCAATGAATTTACAAAGATCTTTTCAATACAATATTTTCCACTGTTCATCTGAACTGGTCGACTGTAGCTAACACCTTTCATTCTTACCAGCCCTTCACATACATCATCCTGCGAGAAATTCCGAATTCTAGTTGGATCAACGTGGAATGCATGCTTTGTAGCACATTTCCATAAACGATTAACATAAAAGTTTTCGGTTTTAATCAATCCCTGAAGAATGTGGAGAATTCGCTATGCATTTGACTTCATAAAGCATCTTTAGGATCATTGGATACATATCTGATTTATACATTGACTTTCTCCCAACGGTTTACCGCCTCATCGTGGCTAGGAGGTGTTCATGGGTGTCGGACTGCGATGTACAACTGAAGATTCATCTCCTGGCAGGGTTTCCCAAGCTGAGAAGGACTCTGGCGTTTCCATTAGGAAGTCTAGCTAAGAATAAACCAGTACCGACGTCCACCACCGTCTTGTTTTCAAAGTCGCATGGTGGTAAATCTCTTTCTGATCCACAACGGCTGCGACTGCCCGCGCTGGTGAAGACCCGGAGCAGACTTTGGCCAGACTGACCTCGGAGCTCTAGGGAACTATAATGGATTAACCAGCAAATCTCCGAAAAATGGA